GACTGCAGCAGGACAAGTACGTTACCTGCCTTCAGAAATGCGTACTTCTGCATTAAATTTTTTCATTGTAGTCTTAAATGCCATGTTTTCAGGTGTTTATTCTGAATCCATCTGAATCCCCTCTCCGCCCCGTCTCCCTTCCTCTAGGCTGCTCCTTGCCTGTGCTGGGGTCGGCTGCCTCGCTCTGCGCAGCAGCCGGGTGCTTGGGGGAGCAGGAGGGTGATGGGGGGGGAGCTCAGATTGGGCTGGGAGGAGCTGCATACCCTGTGCTGCATCTGAGAGCCTCCCCCGTTCTTGTGGGGAGGACCTGGCTGACAATGCTGAGCCTGAGGCCACAGACCTCTGTGGTTCCCTCCATCGAGGCAGGGGGACGCGTCTTGCCAGTGATGGAGACCATCGCTGGCTCTGCAAGGATGGACAGGGAGTGAGCAGGGAAACCTGCTGCCACGAGATGCTGCAGCTCATGGCCAAGGCATGGCATCTGGGTCCTGCGGGCTTCGGTGCAGCTCCTGCTAACTGTGGGAAAACCGCCCTGAGAAAGGAGAGATTTGGGCTTTTCTCACCTTCAAATCCAAGAGGCATCACTTCAAGAGCCAGCTTTAAGCAAAGACTCCCAGGGCCAGATTCATCAAAGGGTCAACAGGGACCTCGCTGGTTTGTTTGAATCCTTGTTATGGATTTGTTCCAGCTCCGCTCCTCAAGCTTTAATGAGCAGCTCGTGGTGTAACTCCTGGTGTGTGCTGCAGCTCATGCGCAGCTATGGCAGCCTCCTGGCCAGGTGTTGGTTTTAGCACCAGTGTATGTTTTTGCAGAAATTTCCCCTGAAAATATTTGCACTGCTCTTAGTCTTTTCCTAGGTGGGCAAAGCAGTGTGTGTGTTGTACAAGGGGTTTAGGTGGCTTACAGGTCTCTGGTGAAACACAGAGCAGCTGGAGTGCAACATGATCACAAAATCCTGTGATGAGGACCTGGGTGTCCCCTTGTGATGAAGGCTGCACTGCCTGCCCTGCTTATCCAACAGCTCCCAGATCTCTCCGTTGCCTTCCTCACCTTCTCCTTCAGGCTCCCAGATACTTCCAGGAAGGTTTTTCTTGCTCCTTTTGCTTGTTGAATAACTTGTCTCCAGGCAATCAGGCAAGGTGCAACCTCGCTGCTTGTGTTGGGGTCCCGACGGACATGGTGCCAGCCCGGCCTCTTAGGGCTTTCTGGGACCGGGAGGGGGTTCAGTTTGTGCCGACCAATTTTTAGGACTGGATTTCTGCCTGGGCAGCTTGCTTGCTTTGCAAAATACACCACAGCAATCATTTTAGCTATGCTGCATGTCGAAGCCCCTCATTATCTGGCTAACCGCTTGCTCTGAGTATCCTGGGGCAAGGACTTGCGCAGGTGGTAGCAACCTCCATCCCTCTGCAGCTGAGCCAAAGCTGAAGTGTTAAGAGAAAGGAGCAGCGTCCCACTCATCCCCATCTTACTCATCCTTCCTTTCTTACACCTTTACTAAGTCCTTCCTCTCTGTGCACAAAGAGGGCTGTTTAGTCACTGAGAAATGTCTTGTTTTCTTAACTAGATGCTTTCTAAGCAGGAAGAAATAGCCCATCAGGATGCCAGGGAGCACCAAATGCTTTAGCTGGGCTTTAGACATAACTTTTCCCTCTTTAGAAATAATTTATTGCCCACAAAACTTGTTTTTATGGAGCTCTCAGAAACTGGCTCTGTTAAAAACTGTGGGATGTTAAGTTCACTTCTTACTTCATTGTGGCACTAAGGTTGATTTGGTTCACTTTAAAATAGCGGAAGAATTCCTACTTTATGCTGTCCCCCTTGCTTTCCTCTGGAAATCAGTATGGGAAGAAGTACCAAAAACCTGAAGAGAGCAATAGGAAAAAAATATTTCTCCCATTTTAAAACAGCTATGTGGAAAGGGGGCTGAGCAACAGCACAGATGAATAAATCATTCCACTAAAAACACAAAAACAACCCAGCTCTCCGTAACCTCTTCCAGCAGTAGAATAAGCAGGCGGTGTTTTTCCCCACCTTCCCCATCCTCTGCTCTCAGCTGAGTGGGGCTGATGCAGCAGGTTGCTGCGGCCGCCCAGCTCGGCTCTCGGTGCTGCGGAGCGACCTGCTGCTGGGGCTGAGCCATCCCTGGGATGGGATCAAATACCCCAGGAGGAAAAGCAAATCACAGTTGGAATGGCTGCCCTGAGTGTTCAGCTTGCAGAGGAGGATTTGCCCTTCCTTCCACCCTTAGTGGGTTTGCAAAGGCAAAAGCCTTTCTTGCACCCCTTTCTCGGGGCTGGTCCTCTAGAAAAGGAGCTAGTCTTGCTCATGGCGGGGGGTCAGACCCAGCGCCCTCTTTGCTGCCTGGGAGCGGGCTTGCTTTTACCAGGAGCACGTCTTCTTCGCCAGAGCAAAGCCGGAGCTGCCAGGGTTGGGAGGAGGAGGATGAACCCGGCCGCACGTGGGGGCAAAGAGCAGCAGCAGTGGGCTGGGTGCTGCCTGCCCCAGGGGATCGACACAGGGAAGCTGTTACCGTACTTGAAATCATTTCCCTCCTGGTCGCTTCTCGTATTTCAGCTGTTTGGTTAAGGACCCGTGGTAGGATGACTGCGCTCCGACGCTACCGTGAGCTGATGCTGTGCTTCCTTGCACAGGGCTCTCCAGTGAAGCATTAAGCGGCATGTCTCTCCTTTGAATACTTTCCACTTGAGAAAAAAAAAAGAAATCATTCAGCCAAAAACAGGAAATACAAGGCTCATGATGGCATCTCTGATTTGAGTACACCTGTTCTTATAACGAGCCCAGCTGCTGGTGTTAACGGCAGTGCGGGAGCAGCTCCACGACCCGCGGAATGGACCGCAGCGCGTACCTCTGGCTGCTTAGCTCCTTCTGCTGCCTTTGGGGTATGTGGATTTTGCTATTTCTTCAGGGTTTTTTAAGGGTGGGGGGGATCATCATCTATTAAGACCTCTATTTCCCATCGGCACTTAGAAATTGTGATCTATTTGCTTTACATGGCGGGCAGGCAGACAGATGAAGTATGAGTATTCATGTAGGAGATAAATGGCTCAAGGTTAAGCTCTGTGTATCGCGTATCTCCAATATGCTTGTAGGCTGAGGGAGGAGAGAGTGGAGGATGATGAATGGGCAAAGATGATGAGGGACAAAGTGTATTTGCAATAATGAAGCATTTTACATTGTGTTTTAATGGAGTATTGATAGCACTGAGGAAATAATTTAGTACCAGCTGTGAATTGGGGTGTTCAAGACAAAGGCTTCCTGGCAGACTGTCTTACCCTCTGCAGGCTCAGATGGGAAGGTGCCACTGGGCTGGGAGATGGTACCAAAACTGTAAAATATACATAAGAGGAACGGAAGAAAACTTGTACTAGAGTGATGCTTGTTTTCTAACTTGTAAACCTTGCTAAAAAACAGCCCTGGCTGGCTGCTGGCAGCCAAGGTGGCTTCTGTTGTTTAAAACTGGGCTACTGAAAATCTCCCCAAAAAACACATTGCCCAGGCACTGAGCCAGGCAGCGGTGCACGAGGCAGCTGCTGGGGCGGGGAGCCCAAGCACCCGGGAGCAGTGGGGGCCGCTGCCTGCGTGTCGTCACTGATGCTCGGCCAGGAAACTTGGGACCTCCACAGAGCTGGAATTTCTCGGCCGCTTTGCTGCCTCGCTATTACTAGAATGCCTACTTTTAAAATCCCCTTGGGGTTTTCTCTCCAGTTCATACACCGAAAGCCCTGTTGCCGTGATACCTGGTGCAAGGGCTACTGCAGGCTCGGCATCCTGCCGCTGCCAGTGGTCATTTGCCCTCCTCTGGCTCCTAATCTGGATTTTGGGGCCAGATCATTTTTCTATGTCCCTCTCACCCCCCAACTAAGCATGGATGAATTGCCTTCCTAATATGGGAAGTATCTTCTTTCCAGGAACTGCTTTGGGCTGGGGCAGAGGGTTTTTCCTACCGTGATGCAAAAAGGGCTTTTCCATCAGTAGCTGTCAGGAGCGTCACCGCTGCACACCAAAAATACTGTTTTCTGTAGCAGTGAGAAAATACTGGAAAAAAGCATCCAGCTCGGTGCTGGGATTTACCGTAAACATACCAAGGGAAAGGGCAGCAGCCAGGTCTGCAGGACCACAGAAATGTAAATTCTGAGGAGAGCCGGGAACCTGCTGGGTTTTGCACCACGATGGGACTGAGGAGAAAAGAAAAAAAAGAATAAAGTGTGTCGCGCGCTCGGGACTGGGTGAGAAAAGCTGTTTTCTCGTTTGTGGTTTTTCACCAGAACGACTGCAGGAGAGGCATATGCTGGGCTTATTTAGGCCTCTTCAGGCTTGTTTCTCTGGGTACAGCTCCTGGTGTTTTTTTTTTTCCCCCCTCTCCCCCTTCTGGGGCAAGCCCTTGCTCCAACGGAAAGAAATTCATAGGAAATGGCAGAGACAAGGGCACCTTCTGCTCTGCACCCGCCACTGGTGGAGATGAAGTGATGAGCTGGCATCTCTTCCCATGCGATTTGCTACAAAAACGAACTTGAGACAACCAGGAGCCGGTGCAAATACGAATCACTGGCTTGTAGGCAAAGACCGAAAAGTGTCTCTGGGACAACCATCATGCAAACGAAGGCCGTTTGGTTCAGCGGGTAGAGAGGAAGAGCAGAGAAGGGCAGCGGTTCCTGTCCAGGGCTCCACCCCGCTCCATGGGCTCACCCTGCTGCCTGCAAGTCCGGCTGGGTGCGCGCCCCGGCGGAGGACTGGGAATG